CAGAGACTCAGGTCAGAGAATCAGAGGTGAAGGGAGGCAGGGAGGACAGAGACTCAGGTCAGAGAATCAGAGGTGAAAGGAGGCAGGGAGGCAGTGTGAAGCAGTGAGACAGTGTAAGAGGGAGCATATTGTATACCAACCCATACACTGTGCTCTCTTACCTATGACGATCTGCGCAATGGGCAATGCAATCATGATAATCTTGGAGATCACTGAAGAACAGAGAAAACACCACCAGTATGAAAAGTTAGGAAACACTAGCCCGAAGAGATATGTTTTCAATGTCTTTTGAAGAGTGAGATTAAAAAGGCATATTGCTTCAGGTAGTGAGTTTCCATAGTTTATTTGCATTTCTAGCTTATGAGCGGAATTTACTAAACAGATCAGTGTATTAGTTTGGCAAGTTCTTTGCTTTTGAATTGCATGCAAATTTCCTCCAAGGAAGAGAGTACAGAGGGGAAGCACATTATTGATGTATGTTGCCCTGAAACCCATCAGCCAATGAAAACCGGCTGAACACTAATGTTTCCTCCCTACTCCACCCTGTTAATGCACTATTAACGAAGAAGCTCTTATGCTTCTATACTGTACCAACATGGATTCAAGGGGAGCTGCAGTTCCATTTTCTCAGACCTTTTATTAAATCTCAGTAATAAAATAAATTAATTGACATTATAGAATTTTTTTTAACAGATTTCAAGTTAAGCACAAAATCGTTAACTTTGTGAAAGTACTGCAAGTCACCATGTTGTCACAAACTTGCATTGGAGTTCCCACAAATTGTGATGTAATGCGGCCCTTCCTGCTCACTAGTCACTGTAATGACTGATATAATGGGATGTGAGACGTTTCACCGCAGAAACGTTCCAACCTGAGTAAGCAGTATTTGGTGAGAAAATTGTCTTCAAGTTGAAAGCCATCTTTCCATTGGATTAAAAGAGAATGGCTTACAAACCTGCTTGTATGCACTGTAATAAGCCTGTATCACATCACCAAAGGTTTTGTTGCCTTGTTCTGAATCGTTGAACATGGCGCTGAACACACCTGGAAAATTTAGTCTATTTAGTGAAATAAATTGGAGGTCTTACAAGTTACTGTGTCCATTTTACATTCAGTTCCCCTTTAAGCAGTTGCCCCAGCAGATCAGCGCCCCTGACATATACATCAGGCTCCCACATGGCTGACTTACTGTACAAGGCAGTGCAGGCGATTTCAGATCCAGTGATACAGTGCAAAGAGTCGATCACCTGAAAACCACAGCAACAGATGGCGGAGGACAGAAGCGTACCTAGGACTGGGGTGCTGACCCGAGGCGGTCTGGGGACTTGTCGGAGCAGATTCCCCCGTTCCTCCATCTTGATTGGTGGTCAGAGCCCTGCGGAAGGCGACAGTGAGTCAACAGCAGCCCGGAGACAAAGAGGGGAGCCACTAATGCAGTCCTTCAATTCAGTTACAAAGGAAATCGGGGGCTTTTTCCCCACCCATGCAATTTGGGAATTGTATTTTGCGTCTCTTTCACCTCAGGAGTGCACCACCTCTCCGGGATACTGCACAGAGCACGTGCCCACAGACTGATTACCGACCAAAAGAGAACAGTCCTGATCATTTAGAAGTAGCATCACAAGGTACACCGAAGTGAAACCAGGGCAGATGCTAAGGTAGAGGCAGAACATACTCTTCAAGTTTCCATTACAAAGCAATTTCTGTACAGGCAACAAAAAACACTTCTAAGCTTCTAAGAATTTTAGCCTATTCTCACTGCTGAGCTTTTAGGTTTCCAAGGGTTTTTTTTTTTCCCCCAATGGACAAGATTCTGGCTGCCCAGAGTTTTTGCAGAGGTGCAAGCAGGAAATGAGACCTTAAGGTTTCCAGTACTGCCAAGAAACCCAATTCTGCTCATATATAGAGCAAGGGCTCCGACCACATCTCAGACTGGCCGTCCAAAAACAAGCAAGCCGCCTGGTTTTGAGAAACGGAGCACGGAGTCCTTTCACAGGATCAGCCCCCTGCTCTGGGGCCGGTGCTCGTGTCTGAACAGACTTTTTTTTTTAACACGCGCCCAGTGCAGGAAGTTCAAAACCACCTCTCAGAGCTCTTCCCCAGCTTGAAAGTTTTTTTTCTTCTTCTTTCTGTCGGAGTGTCACAAGACATTCTTCAAATTGCAGAACAACGGCAATTTCAGGTTTCACGATTTCCACCCGCCGTTCTGCTGCAAGGCAAGCGTGGGGGGAGGGCGGGTATTTGGGAGCTCAATTTGAAGCGTTAACTTTGACATCCGTCCTAATGTCATTAAGGCCAGTGCCCGTGAAACACACTGCTCTGCAGCTCGACGTGCAGGAAGAGGACTCCTCCTTCCCTAGCAGAATCGTGATCTTCCTCATGTGACACGCCAAGGGTGTCGAGTTAGAACGGAATAACACTTTACCCCACTGAAATAAACAGCAAGCGTCTGCAGGGGGACGTGTCAACACAGCAGAGGTACAAAATGAGAACAGAGCGATCAATTTACTCCAGACTTTCATCCCACAGCAAACATGCTAATCTTAAGGTTGACCTGAACTGCCATATAATATAGCTGTAATAAAGTCGAAAGCACGATTGTTTTAGAGGCAATACTATGCACCCAGGGGAGGAAAATGTTCCAAACCACACAATCTATTTCTGTTAAAATTGCTGACCAACATTTTAGTTCACATGATGCTTTTTCTTCACGGGGGTTTGAGATCAACCCCCACACAGTGGCATTGGTAGAAACAAACACACAAACTGTGTGGTGCTCTGACAGGAAAGCAGACCCCATGCACAGTCCAGACTTTTTGCATCACGCTGAGCCCGGTCGACAGCTGCCTGGATTTGAAAGGTGCAAAGCAGAGCAGAGCCTGTCAGTTCTGAAGACGGAGCAGGATTCTGGGCTTGGAATGGGCCAGGCTGGAGCCTTCACGCACAGCCCTGGCTCTCGGCAGTATCCCTGGTGAGTAACTGGGAAGCAGGAGGCAGCCAAGGAAGTGGGCGGCAAGATCTTTCCAACAGCGATCTACCCTCGTCTTCCCCAGCTCCATCCAACGCTGTATCGACCCGGCTGAACGGCACCGGCTCCAGGCTCCAGAGGTCGTCCCCAGCGGCAGCCAGCGGCGCAGCGTGTAAACCAGGACCCGGGCCGGGCCGGGCCGGCGTCACACTCGAAGACGTCTGGTAATAACCCGGGGTCACCTCGCCCGCGACGCCGCAGGGTAGGTCAGCCCTTGAGTGAGTTACCCACGAGCACCTCAGGCTGGCTGTGATCAGGAAGCGGGGACGGCCCGGCCGCGAAATCAGCTGGCGTGTTTGAAACGGAGCCGATCCGCCGGCAGCCGAGCCCGGAGTTATTTGCATTCAGCATCGGCCTTATCAGGGATTGACAATGGGGCCGATGTGTGCAGCGCAGACCTGACTGACACGGGGCTCTGCAAACGCAGGGGTGGCCAGCTCTGGTCCCAAACCCGCCCAGCAGGTCTGTCCGGTCACCCCTAGCTCACTTCCAGCAGTGCGATCACGGAGAGTGATCGGGGATCCCCCCCATCCTGGACCTGGGGACCCCTGCTGGCTTAGTTTCACCCCAGTCCCGGAACCGGGAAAGACAGGCTTCCTAACTCCTTGTAAGGAACTTCATTTGAAGTCTCTAGTTGGTTTCCTTCCTCAGACACGGCTGTCTTCTTCACTTGTGCCTTTACTGGAGGGACATCGCAACTCCAACCCCGGGGTAGAGACGATCTTGCCAAGGCTGTGTAGCCCAGCGACCTGTGGGCTCAGCGCAGCGATCGTGGGAGTCAGGAGCTCTGCTGCGGGGAACCTCCACTGTGGGAGGACTTCAGATCAGCTGCAGGGCAAGGACCGAGCATTCAGCGTCTTTACACAGAGAGTGGCTGGAGTCTGCAGCAAAGCCCCCCTGCTCCTCGAGCAGACTCGAGCGAGGTCCTTTGAGAAAAAAGGGCTTGGTGGGACTCCATCTTGTAAGACACCAAAAAACCAACAAGGGCCACATACACAACTCTTCAACACCCAACCTACTCTGTATTATATCTGATACGATGACTCTTCCTCCGCTTGTCGGGCTTGAAATCTTCGTCCTTATCGGCTTCATCATAGTTGACTGCTAGCGGCATGAAAACTGTGAGGTCTGCGAGGAGGCGAAGCCTCCGAACTGCTTCCGTCTGTACAGGATTGATGATCGCGGAGAAAGTAAAACAGACTCGATTTTCAAACCGGCCAGCAATGTCGGGTTTATTTAATTTACTGGCGTGCGACCACGGGGTTATGTACGTGCAACGTTCAATTGGAAATCCGTCTTTCGTTTGTTTTCGTTTCGCAACGGGCTGATTCGAGGAGTCGGCGTCTGTGCAAAAACAGAGCGCCTGGACTTTGAATCCATTACCGAATAGCGCTGTCGCTTTGGTAGGTAAAAACCAAAGTGGTCTGCACTTAGTCGTCATTATTGCTTGAGCTTGTTTGTTATTCCTTTCGGACCCGCCCGGACAGCCCAACACCGACTAGGAACTCTGCTCAGTCGCTGAGACCGAGGGCCCCGAACTTTAACGCGTTTCTGACCTCAAACTGTTCAAACTGCAGTATTACTGTATGTTATTATAATGCAAGCCAACTCCTACCAGACACCAGTGTTATTTTTTTTTTTAGTTTATGTATAAAAAGTAATAACATCCTTTTCTACGGTATTTATTATTGTTAGGTCCATTATTTTGTTATCCGAAACATGCCACAATAACGCCAGTATTGACAACAAAACGCGGGCTTATACAAACGAACTCGGGCTGTTTTTCCCAGGGGGGGTTATCACACAGAATCACCCCCCCCCCCGATATACAAGCTCGTCTGTCTCTGTTTGTTTTTTTCTTTTGGCGAAGGGTTAGCAAGTTTCTTACCTGTCGCTTGCTTCCACAGAGGGTGACGCCAGGCGGACACGAAGAGAGAAAGTGAAATTACACCGCTAGTGGGGCTTGACGTCCGCGGCTGCAGTCGGAGAAACTCTTCCCCAGTGTTCGAGGTTGAAGCTCAGCCCCGGCCGAGTCAGCGCCCGGC